GGTGGGAGGTGGGAAGGGGGCGATCCTTAGGTCCTCTCTCAGAAGATGAGCTCAACAAATTGTGTTCCTTGAGCTGTCAGCTCCCAAGGGCCAATTTTTAAGGCTAGCTTACACCATTTAAAATTAAATAAAGCATTCAAAGACATAATTCTGCAGAACAAAAATGACATCCAAAGATACAATAAAGCCTAAAGTAATCATTTTTTTTGTACCAAGCCAGAGCTGTCCTACAGAAAGGCCAGACAGTCTATGCCTACAAAATGACACAGTGCAACAACTTTCAGACAAAAATTGCTAACAGGACAGACTTCAGACAGCAATTCACACCAGTTTTATAAGTGCTTGGTGATGTGGGAATGTGAACAGGTTTCAGAGAGAAATGCCTGGACTTTCTGTTGAACCAAGTGGAATGTTACCTGTGTGTTCGGGTAGATGCCTTAGCAATGCTTACTACAGAAAAGAAACAACTCTGCATTTTTGGGTTTTTTTAATTGCTCACCATGTACACGTGCACAGATACACATACGCTCACACTCATTCCAGCTAACTATACAAATGGAGAAAGCAAGACGCCATTACATCAGCACCATTGAATTAAAATCTGATATGGCAAAGTCAGATACAAGCAGAGTTCTGTTAAAATAAATTGATTACTTGCCTCTGCTTTTCCCTCTCTCTCACTTAATTACGAGCTGCTAAAGTTCAAAAAGATTTTTACCTGCTTGTTAGAAGAAAAAATGGCATATACCATAAAGGTCAGATATGCGTAAATAGGACTGCACAGTATTAAAGAGCCAGGGGAATAGTAAAGCTAAAACAAGGGCAGAACTAATGAAAAAGACTATCACTGCTGATTTATGGAATCAAGAACTAGAAGTTTTCCCTGTGATGTCAGGAGTCCCTTCACCTGACACTTCTTTCATCTCTTCTGTAGGCTAGGTCTACAAATCCAGCTTTCCCATGTTTTGTTCTCACCTATTCAGTTCCAGCTCTTGAAGGAAGAGTATGGAGATGGACTTTTAGGGCAGAGAAGAGACTACTGGTAATAAAGAATATCTGAACTCCGTGAGAGTTTCCTGCAAGATGCACTCTTTTCTACATAGGAAGTCAGTTCATACATATACCTTGGTAAAGCAGAAAAAGGCCTGACATGAAAACTACAAAAGCAAATGGCAATTGAAAACTACAAAAGCAAATAGCAATTTCCCTCTCAGTCTTGGAGTCTCCAACAGATGCTGATCACCTAAGCAATGCAGTACTGACAGGATCACACCCTCAACATATCCCTGGATGCCCACTGCCATTTTATTGGCCATGAAAAAGCTACAATATCCTGGTCCATTGATTGAATCCTTACATCTTATTTGTAAAAACCTTAACATGTAAGCCAGTTCATTCATCTTTGCAACCCCCGAAGTTGTTTATCCTTAACACTATAGTGCAAACCAGCAACCCTTCATAGCACTACACTACTTATGTAGGCTAGTATAACTTTTGTAGTTACAAAGTACTGACCTACCATTTCACCTTCAGAATACAAAATGTTCCCTTTTTAATTAGTGACTTGGAAAAAGAAATATTTTAGTCACTAAGAGTATAAAAATACTCCGTATACTTCTGTTCTTAGCTGCGTGGGTTTTGTACAATGGCCTCTTGGCATTAACTAGAATCTGGAGCCCAAATACTCAGTGGAAATCCCTCCCAACGTAGCAATTAGTATCATTCATTTACTTGACCTACATTCTAAACGCGTCTAGACAGAATTCACCACTGATAGTTTGGGAGGATGGGAGTGGAGAGGTGGGTTGGTTTCTTAAGCAGGAACAAAAAAAATAAAAGAAGGTTTTAGATTAATTTTCAGCCCTGCATTAGAAAAATCAAGAATATATTGAGATACATTGTTACACAGAGAGATGTGCAAGTGTCCCCTGCCAGTATAAATCAGACCCGCAGCCTCCAAAAGCGTTAAGTGAGAAGCGTGCTGCATTGTATCAGCTGGGATCTGGCCTAAGAACCTCAGCCTAATCCATTATTAGTCTGTGCTGCTGAAAAACACTGAATAGTACAGATGAAATAAGAGAAATGCAGCAAAGAACTATAAATAGCCTGGGGAAAAAAAAACAACATTATCTACACACTGGTAGCAAGGTTAGAACTGTCACATGCCCTGTGCTTGATACTTTTTAAATATATATATATAAAAAATAATGCCCTACATTCCTTCCTAGCTTATCTCCCTAGAAGCAAAGACCCAACAGATCTAGACATGCTTTAAAGCTATAGGCCAAAAGGTAAGTTTACTAGTGTGTATAAAATTGTGCTGACAAGCAGCATAATGTTACAGCTGAAGACTCTAAGGATCACTTAAGTCCTTTAGTGGAAATGGAAATTAAGTAGCACATAAGGCCTTTGCCTACCCTGTCCACACACGCACATTTTTCTACTGCACCAAGTGACTGCTCATGGGAAAAAGGATACTGGCAGAAGGCTAAGACCTCAAGTAATATAGCTGAGCTAATTAAAAGCACTTATACTGGCATCCTCCCTCTCCCTGAATATGCCTTACTACTCCTTCCCTATGCCCTTAACACAGGGCACATACAATTGCCTCTCCATGTGGTCTGCAGTGCATCAACATTCACACGGGGGTCACCCCTGGACTGCGGAGGCTGGCGGTGCAACTGCATGTGTGCTCTCTGCTCTGACCCCTGCTACGTGTGGTACACAGGCATAAACTGCCGCTGGACACAGTGAGCTCCTTGACGCAAAACAGCCTGTGGGTAGGTGATGACAGGAGATTCTTTGGCCCCTAATATCTAGCAGAGAAACTTAGTTCTATTAAGGCCCCTGAAGAAAAATGATCACAAACATACCAAAATAAAGCAAAGTTTTTTCCTTATTATAAAGAAATAATGTTTAATATAATAAATCCCCAAGCAATGTGTGTGCTAGGTCAACAGATTCCCCAAAAGAGTACCTAAAAATAACTTTAAGGATTACACACATCAAGATTATAGACATAGATTATCAAACAAAGAAAACTGGTATGGCCATACTGGCTTGGATGAATTAGTTGAGGCATGACCTAGACCGTGGCCAGTTTCAAATACTCCAGATGAAAACATGACCATCTCCCAATCAGATCTGAACCATCATGCACAAATTAAGCAAACAAACTGGCAAAGCTTTAATGGTGACTAGTGCAGTAGGTTCTGGAGAGGGAGGGTTGTTCGGGTTTTGCAAGATCGTCTGTCCTTTAAGTATTGAGAAGTAATTCAATTCTGGGTTTAATACTGTGAAGTCAGCTGTATCTGCAATGAGAGGTGATCCATTTCACTGGTAATGGGCATGAGCTCAGGCAGAGCAGCCTCCCACCTATGCACAGTGCAAACTGCAGACTAGTAAGAGCAGTGTTGTGCTCCACAGCTTGGGGCCTCTTTTGCAGAAGACTTAACCATTCAGTTGCCCTCAGAGGTGGAAAACCATGAGTGTTCTGAAAACAAAGACCATTTAAGGAATTTTCTAAGCTATGACCTTGCCCACTTACACTGACCAGCCATACGGTAATGAAAGAGTCAGTCTCAACTTTCTCTTGTCACTTTGCTGGCCTCATGTGGCTAAGCAATGCCGCCATCTCCTGTGGCACCCACCAGTGTTCACTATTTATGTGAAGCCTTAAATTATTTTAAAAAAAAACAAACCTCAACATACAAAAGTTCTTTGTGGATACTGGAATGGTTCAGAGGACCCAACATGATCACCGTGAAGGGAAAGAGACTTTAGGGAGGAGACTTACCCATGCCAAGGAGGGAACACTTGCAAAATAGATTACAACAGCATTTCTCCTCTCATTGCCACCAAAGGTAAAATAATAAAAAGGCACTTGCATAGAAGAATAGGGCATTACCTAGAAAGTACATCTGTACACCAAAACTCATTACTAGCTCATGGAGTCAGGCACATGTTTCACTGTCACAAATGTGAAACTCCTTCTTAAAATAGCACAGTGGGGACTGATCCACAGACCCCTGTAATTCACTGAAGTCTTTCCATTCATTTCACTGAGTTTTGAGTCAGGCCTGAGGGCAGCAAATAGGGAAGAGGGAAGAAAGTCTAAGGAGAATAAAGAACAAGAAAGGAGCTGGTATGGCAAGAGCTGTAATAAAATACAAATCCAATATTTTACAAAATAGAATACTTGCAGGAAATACCTACTGTACATGGTAAGTACATCACTTGTAAGGCTAGGTTAATTTTTCCCTTATTTATCATTAGGAAAAAAATTAAAGAAAAAAGAGCTTCAAAATTCTTTATTCCTTTTCTAAATTGACTTCTTCTGGTAAAATGTAAAGTAGCTATGCTAGCCTGCTGAATTAAGATTTTCACATTAAATCCATCCTCAGTGGAGTCTGAGTGCCCTTCTGCAGTAATCAGGTAAAACCCTGCTCAAATCCTGGGGTAGGTATGACTGTGCCACTGCAAGGACAAATTGCATGAAGCACAGCTCAGGCAAAGACAGGACCAGGGTACTGAGAGAGGAAGAACTCTTAAAGGCAACAGCTACATGGGACAAGGAGGAAACAAAGCAGGGAGAAGAGTTCTGGACCAGGATCAGACCTGAATACTGATCTTGGCTTTTCCACTGAACTTGGGCTAGTCACTTCACCTCCCTATGTGCCCATCTCATCCCTCCTGTGCCCTATCTCCTGCCTACATACTCAACTCCTCAGGTTAGAGGCTGTCTTGCCATACAGTTAATACAGTATCTACCATCTCCAAGCCTGAACTGTGCCAAGCTGGGGCTACCTGCACCCCTGTCTTTCCAGCTAAGCAGTTGGTCTAAGACCACATCTCTGGAAAAGGAGGTAAAAGGAGGATAAGACACATGGCTTTATTTTAGGGCTATTCAATTTGGGGGGAGGGAATGGGTATTCAGACATTTGTGTGTCTGATTTCAGAGTTTGCCCAGATCATCTCTAGGGTTAGGGAAGCTCAGTTCTCTTCATTGCGACTGCCTGAAGAAAAATTTGCAAAGCTAATAAATACTATTTACAACAGTAACAGGAAGATGGCAAGGAAAAAAAAAAAAAACACAGGACAATCTGAGACCAGGTCTACATAAGAAATTCCATCAATGCATCTAGAAGCCAATAAATTAAATCCATATGGTCCTCTCAGGAGGCACTTCTGGTTTAAGCCTTCCATTGATTTAGTTTGTTGGGAAGGAACTGATTTAAGCTAAACAGATTTGCCTTAAGCAGAATAAAGGACATCCATCCAAAACATTGCATAAATTTAACAAAACCTGCTTTCTAACAGATTTAGTTAAACTAGTGTAAGTCTCCCACACAAAGTGTGACAAGACAGGAACTGATCTTTGCTTGAATTCCACAAGGGTGGAAGCAGTAGGGAAGCCTACCAGGACTGCTTTCAACCCTGAGAGAAACCTACCCCACTAAATGATAGAGGCTGGAGGGGAGAAGAGAAAGAGCTAGGGGAGGACAAATCAGCAGCAACGTTGCCCACCCCTCTCCTGCTTGTGCTGTTAACTCAGCAGTAACAGAACCCTTTCTTGCCCCTTCAGAAGCAGGCTACACACATGCTTCTCAATCCCCCCAAAAGGCTTAAGTGCCATAGACCAGTAGGCACGGAGCTGTGGCTAGATTCTGAGCAGCATCAGGCTGCATCTCCTCTTTCAACTATCTTCTCCCAAGAAACCTATCACCTACATGCTCCCATTGGTTTTGGGTATTTCACCCTTCTACAGAATGTCTTTGTGCTCAGATTAGGACGTGTGCATGCACACACACACACCCCTACCAGTCACCAGCACACTGCTGGCATCATCTGCCATCATAATTCAATCCTGCCCTTGCAATATTAGACAGGAAAGGAATAAAAGCAAAGACAGGGACTGTGTGTGAAGTAAGGAAGGGAGTTACAAAGACAAAAGATCACATCTGCAGTCACAGCCTCACCAGTCAATGCAGAAGTTGAACTCCCTCTCTTTTGTGCTTTGGTTCACTGAGGATGACAAGTCAGGGGGCTTTGGTTGAAAATATGTGGGAAAGAGGGAAGTCAAGAAAAAAGGCCTTTTTTTTTATTTTTAAGAGGTGGCATTGACTCTTCTATCTATTTCAATTATCTTCAGTGTTTCATTTCCTTCTAGTTCGGAGTTGACTCTGTAAGGAACAAAGAAACCAAAAAACCAAAGGTTAATGCTAATAATTAGTTGTTTTTAAAAGCACATATCCTGCTTGAATTGGCTAATGCTAAAAAGGCATTCTGTATTTACCAGGTACTTGTCAGTTGGAGCATGTAACACACTGAATTAGTCATCGCTTTGGCTCTAGATATAACTGTGACACAAGTGCTAGGAAGGCATGCTTGGGGTGATAAGGCTCATCCTAGCCCTCAGAATAGCATGCTTCTGAAAAAAGTCCCTCTCTACACTGTTTGGTGTGCTTGCTACTGCTTGTTAGCAGAGACCAAGATCTGGGCTAATAGAACAGTGGCAGAACAAGAAAAGGTATAGCAGGAAGAAAACTGCACACACATATTTAAACCAGTGAATCTCTCTTTTCAGAGGCCCCAAACCTTACATTTATATTAGAACATAAAAAATAAAATGATGAAGGAACTCTTGTGTTAAGTAGTTCAGATAACTTTACATGCCTGCAAACTTTCCACAGTAATGCTTTAGTAAGATCACTACTGCGAGAAGCTCCAGCTCTTCACACCCTAACCTCATAGAAAGCCCACTGAGTCACAGCCTCACACTTCCATCCAACTGGCAAAAGCTTATTCCTTTAGGAGACACAGAAGTGCTTGAAGAAGTGGGTAGGCACAACTAACAGGCTCACAGGGGTTAGGTTTCTGGTAGAAGCACTAAGTTCGGTAGCTGTATTACTACAATATGGCTACAACCACTTCTCCAGAATAACAATAACTTTGCCTATAAGCTCTCCAGACAGAGACCAAACTCTTACTTCATGTTTCACAGTGCCCAGCAAAGCTGAGACCCTAGGCTTACTGCCCGTCTCCAGGCACAAATGACAGTGATGTTGAACACCTGCATGACAAGCAGCCCACCCTCCACTCACCTGTGCTGCTGCAGGCCCAGCAGCACCGATTTCTCTAGCCTTGTCTCATTGGCTATTGTAAATTGCATGATATCATCCTGCTGTGTCCCTGGCATGGCTTCCAGGGACAGCGCCGTGTACTTTGAGGTGTCTGCTTGCCTGTCATTGTGATCTGCAAAGGAGATTGGGCTTGATGACTCCTCCAGCTGGTGAGACTCTTCATAAATTAGCAGACTCCTTGACCTCACTGTATACAAAGACAGAAGGCAAAAAGGGATGAGAAACAGGCAGGTCAGGGAACAGCCCTGGTCATTTCAGGAAACAGAAACTGTCAGAGCAGAACTAAAGCTTGCAAAGGTCTTTTCTTTTCCTAGTGATTAACTGGCAATTTGATAGCTGAGGAAAGACACCACAGCAATGGTCCAGGGCAGGGATCAAAAAGCTCTGAATTATTCACAAAACAAGAACAAAATGAAACAATCACTTTGATAATGTATGTTGAAAGCAATTGGTTCATTGCAAAACTGCTGTAAACAGAAGCACCAAGCAGGCTAGTGAGGAAAAGGTTTTACCCATGTTTCTGAAATCTGCTGCCATCAGCATAGCTTGCCAAACTATCCTTTGACAAACACAGGTATACCAAGGAATGGCCAGCTAAGGAGCAGAAAACCAAGAGGTGCTTGAGGATGAGGTTGGGGATGAGGGTGGATGGGGATGGTGTTGTGCTGAAGCACAACAAAGCAAGGAGCAAGACTGGGATAGCTGTCACTTACCAATGGAGTCTGTGTAGGACTCTGGCGAGGAATGCTGCCTGGGCAACACCATCTTTGTAGCAGAAGGATACGGCCCATAGCTCTGAGAGAAGCTGCCAAAAACTACTGCAAAGCACAGCACCACCATCTGGCAAAGGGAGGATGCAGAAGAGGTAAGTGAACTTGCTCCTGACCCACTTGTGCACATCACAACTAAGAATCATCACAAGGTAGATAAGATACTTTTTCAAAACAGATCATTTGAGGCTATTTTCATCACTACATGAAGTGTCTATTAGCAAAGGCACATATACAAAAACATTTCAGTGTTTTAAAGGGCAAATTTCAATGCTGGAGTTTGTTTTCAATGTCTGCCACCATTTTGGCCTGTTGCCTTATTTACTCCCAGCTGAAAAGCAGACACAGTCACCATGTGTGTTTTACAGATACTGCTGGGAATTTCCAAGGTTATTTCTGCTGCTGGCCCCAGTCTTCCTTCAAAGTGACAGAGAGGCCAGCAGACTAGGAGAACAGCTTAGGCCTTGAGAATAATTTTCATCAATTTATAGTACTTATATAAAGGGAACTTGCTGGCTGAGTATAAGAAGGGAAAAGGGCAAAGTTTCATTCTAATCCTTTTCTTATCCTGACTACTATTACTGAAATAGGACAGAGGTAGATTTACAGCCTTAGTAATATTTTTATTTGGATGGGCAAGTTTATTTTTACTGGTATCAAAAGAATCAAGCATCAAAGGTCACCCTCGTTTTCATTTTACGATCCTAGACACTATTTCTCACATACAATATTGTAGGAAATAATAAAACAGGTCTCTCAGAGGAGCAGTGCTCCTTCTTTCATCACTGCAGCACCCAGTCAAAAGCACAGGCCCAGAATTTAATGCCTTCCATTAACAACCATTAATCTTCATCACCCATGAGTCTCACCTACCTCAAAATTAATTTTCAGATTATGAAAAGAAGTTTCCCAAGCTGAGATTTGCAAGTGAGGGGCTTTGCAGAACAAGGGATGTGCCTTTGAGCAGTGGTCAGAGATTCTCATCACCCTACAATTCCCGGCTTTAGGGACACTCACCATAAGACAGGTCCCTGTCTGTGTGCTAGCTGCCTTACATGAACGGGACACTTTCCCAGCAACCATGGCTTGGAGTCTCTGCAACTGCTGCAGAAGTGTTCTGGAAAGCAAAGACAACAGACAAGCATCAAATGCACTGATCTACTTGCTAGTTAAACAACTTTTTGCTTCACATTCCACACCTGGCAATAATACAGTATTTATGACAAGGTACAGATCAATAAATTCCTCCCCTTGAAGTTAGTAGCAAGGAATGTTTTTAGTTTTACAAGATTTTTACCTGTATGAGCCCTGGACCTTTCAAAAAGATCTGCCTTTCCCTCAACTGATGTTTTCAACAATTACTTCTTCAGCACTTTCAGAAGGGTCTTATAAATAAAGTTTTGAGTGTTTCTACTATATATGAATCTGGTAAACATATGAACAACTAAAACTGCTCTATACACAGGTGACTACGTGCATATATGACCTGGTTCTATGTTATGAATTAATCAGTTTTGCCAATATTTGGAAAGGTGCAGGAGCAAGTTTTTGTAACTGCTCTAACTGGTGAGAGAGGTATATGGCTACCTCATTTTTCTGAAAACCTGCTTTACAGTGGTTTGAACCACATGCTGGACCACTTCCAAAGAGAAGGTCTTAAAACCAGACATAGTCACAGACTCAATTTTTCAAAATCATTTATTAAATAAAGCACTTTATTGCTATTTTCGAAATCCTCCAGGAGCTGACAAAAATCACAGATGCTTGAAGCAGCTACTCTGTGTCTTTCAGAGGTCCCAACCTCAGTGGCAGTTCTTTTGTAGCTGGCTGCAGTCAACAGTCCCAGATCAAGAAAATATTCTTCTGCCTTTCTGGCTGTTTTTCTTCTGCTGTATCACCATATATTACTACAGTCAGAATACTAGTCATTTAAATGGGAAAATATCTCGAAGAATGATTAATACAGGTCTTTCACAGAAGTTTTAATTTTGTTTTCATTAAAGCTTTTTAACAGACAAGGAGTAACCCGAATGTCTGTCCTCGACACAATATAAATATAATACCATTTTGCATCAAGATCTTAACTTTGCTGTTTGTTTCCAATTTTACTTTTTACTTCTACTGTAAATCTCACAATTTATTGTAGAGGGTAACGCCCACAAAACTCCAGGCAGCTTTGGAAGCTGTGATGTCAAATGGTAAAGTAAGAGGCAAGGTCAGGATGTCAGAGAAAATAGAAGGATTATTTTAAGATCAGACTGGCTAAAAGCTAATTGTAGGACAGACCCAGAGGTACCTTCACAGCTCAATATACACTTGTCTGCCTATTATTATAGATTTTTTTAATCATCAATGCTCATTGCTAATTAGGGTTTAATGAATTCAAGGACTTCAGGAATGCATTCTGAAATGAGCACAAGGCATGCTCACAGCACAGATTTATCTGGGCCAGCAGATCTTCCTCAACTTATTAAGGAAGGATGTCTTGCATGCTCTTGAGAGCATGGTTTATTCTGCAACTTGGTATTTAAAAAAAGTGATTTGTCTAATTCAGTCCTTTATTCACTATTAGAGAGACCACAGACAAATTTAGAGATGAAAACACTGAAAAAAAACCCCACCATCATGTAAATGAGACCATCGTAATTCCCTGTTCCCTTCTGCATCTCTCCCCAGTTCCTCCTCACATCCACATAGGTTTCAGAGAGACTTGTGTACATGGTATACATCATTTTCCAGCTATGTTATACAGCCATGCCTTTTTAACCTCAAAATTTCTGTGTTATTATAGAAGACTAAATCTTTCCCGTTTCAGGCCTGAGTCACTGGGCTCGACATAAAGGAGCTCTGTGGAGCAAGGAGGAAGGAGCTCTCCTCCCCAGCTTCGGGGCTGGTAGCAGCAGCAGCCTTGAAATGTGATCATTCTCGCCACTTTTTGTGGAGGCGTCAGTGAGAAAACAGCTAATGGCTGGTGAGGAAATCAACAGAGAAGAGGCAATTCTCCTCATTTTGCTCATCTCTGCCTTTTTGTGTCGAATTTAAAGAACCTGCTGGGCAGAGTGGGCCCAGAGAGCTGATACCAAAACACTCTTTTTGGAGAGTATAATTTGGCAGGTATTCTGAGGTCTACTATACACAGAAGATTCATCCCCCACCTTATTTACCAACTACCTTCATACAAAATGTCTTTCTCCCGCAGGTAATTTATCTGTTTGAGCAGAACTACTGTCATCTTCTCAACAGACAAGGACTCAGTGTTGGGAGCTGACAGGTGCATTTTCAAACTAAGAGCAAGAGCCTAGGCAAGAGTAAGAAACAAGTTTGTTCAGTGATTATAACAGTTTACCCTGACACTTCCTAAATGGGGCACTCCTTGGTGGTTTTTATTCTCTGTTTGAATCTGGAATGGTGGAAGACTGCGTTCTGCGGTCAAAAGATCTTTTTTCCCCTGAAAAACCTGTCTTCATTGTTACTGGACAGCTGCAGGTATGATCTGGACTCAGACAAGGAAAAGAAGCAGGTCTCTGCTTTGCAGAACAGGGACTTCCATTAAACTACAATGTTCCCTCTAAATAGCAGCAGGAAGAATATGAATGCTTCTAGTGAAACACACTGCCTATGGTTAAGTCCTAACAGGAGAAAATGCAATCCCAAGACAGCCATGCATAAGGGGGTTTGCACCCACAGGGATTATTTTCACTGTGTCTGACACATTTCCCAGTGATATTCAATTAGAAGGTCACCTCTGTAGGAGGTGTGAACCTGCTTTCACGCTTTTCTCTGCCAATGGAAGCACCTCATAGGAAAGCTGTAAAGTGACTGAAGACTCCTGCTCTCCCTTCCACAAGTGACAGGAAATTCACTGCCTGTGATGTCTTGTTTTCGTGTGCACATTCACGTATTTATCTTTTAAAAAGCCCCTTTTCACCACCAAAGTAAGGAACAAGCCAAGGCTTCCCCTCTGCTTCCAGTGACACTTTGATTAAGGAGAGAAAATATGTCACTCCAGGACCTAGCCACCTGGGAGGCTTCCTCAAGTCAATGTTTATGTTTAAAATCCAACATCAATTTAAAGAAAAAAAGACAGCTTCTAGGGGACACCAAACACTATTTATTTTGATCCATATTTTTCAGAAAATTTATCTACTTCGTGAGGAATAAAACCTAATTTTGATAAGGAGAAAAACTGTTCTGTCTTCCAACTCTACACACAGATTCCTTCGCTGCCTGTCCTGTTTGTAGGAAAGAGAGCAAATCCCAAAGTAAGGTTTTCACTGAAAGACCAGAATATCTCAAAGCAGGAAAAAATCCACAATTTTTTCTCATTTGAATTACAAAGAAAAAATCCAGCAATTTTTCATCAAAGATGTTTCAGCATAAAAACCAGTCCTGCTCCAGCGAGCCACTCCAGGGCTGCCATGCTTTGTCAACTATGGTAAGCGTGATCTGAAATGAAGTGCAAGATATCTTATTGCAACTTAAATCCAGATCCTTCACTCCTTGAAAATTACTTGGTAAAATGACTTTACCAGCCTCAGACAAAGAGCAAATCAGTGAAGTCTGGCAACTTTGGTACAGGTAAACCCTTGGTGGGTCAGACTGTTACACAACTTGACCTTTAGATGACTGGCAGTTGTAACAACAGCGTGAGCAGGAGCATATGAAAGGGAAGAACATCCCAATTGTATTTATAAAGCCATTGCCTTTAAGGTGCCTGTCAGAGTGGAAACCTACACAACTTGCTAGTCAGTACTCCATGGGAGCAACTCTAGTAGCGTGTGTGACAATCTCAACCATATGCTAATTGGATCTTATGTCTATCACTTCTCCAGGAAAAGTGATCATCAATATATTCATACATACAGACTCAACAGAAGTGAAAAGCAAAAGTACTTCTCACATGTCATACACAGTACCAGATGTTTCAATACTGCCTATAAGCCCAAATAGCCACGGCTCCCAGCTAGACAACGCTGGTATTGGAGACTGTATTCAACCCCCTGGATCACTGGCAGTTTCTGCCTTTGGTCCCGGTGCCAAAACACGAGTGGATCAAGCTTTGTCAGTGACTAGGACAAGTCAGTTCAACTCTTGGTGCCAGCTTCTTCTCACACCCGTTGCCTTCTCAGACAGCAGTGCCCTACATGTGCAGATTCTACTCAAACCAATGAGAGCCTGGCTCACATGTGGCTACAAGACATAACAGATATGCATGAAATATTGTGCTCCCTTAGTTTTGATAAAACTGCCTAGAAAGGAACTTGGATGGGTTTCTTTTAAGGGACTGAGTCACATAAATTAGGAGAGGAAACATATGCTAGCATTCTAATACTAAAGATGCCAAAAATGCTGCAGTCACCCACTCAGAGTATTAAGAATTAAAAACTCCCCTGCATCTTGATCCCCAGCCTCCTGCCTTGCCTTTTAAGATGTATGAATGTCAAGGGAGATGCTTCTGTATGCAAATTTTTTGACCACACTTGCACCTTTTACATTACATCTTTTCAGATCCAGAATTTCAGGCTAAGGTAGGCTCTCAGGGAAGACTCTTCTACATTTTTTCATGTTACTGAGAATAATGTAGGAAGATTTTTACCAGAAGAAATTCTAGTGTTTCCATGGTTTGGAGCCAGATCTTGAAATGCAAGCAGGGTTTCCCTAAGTCTTAGGTATGTATCTGTGCAAATGTGTTCTATATATAGAATAGCATGCTCTAAAAAACTGATTGCACATACTGAAAGGAAACTCTACTGTTCAATAGTGGTATGTTTTGGAAATTGCCCTTCAGTTCCTCTCAACTCCAGCCAGACTATAAAAACATGATACTGACTGACAGCACGTACATGTGCATGAACTTTTAGGTAAGCAACTATAGCCCAGTTTTCCAACAAGATAAAAAACCAGCTTTGTCTTCATCTACACTTGAATGCATTAACATTTTTACATGCTATCACAGCTCTTTTCCTATTATCTTTCTTCCACTCTTACAATTTTTCACCACAAAAGAACAGCTCTAATGTTTGATTTTCTACTTTTAGATAATACCTTCAACAACATCTTCATTTTTTACTGCATTGAAAGCAGCAACTGAAGTCAACTGGGGCTCTGCTTTGGGCATATTAAATAACATAGATGTATGTATGGCTGTGTGCTAGGTACTTCGAGAAATAAAGTCCTAACTGTATAAATTTGGGCATCCAAGAAGAAACTGATACTGGATAATTTTGACCATCACTGCTTTGAACTTTGATTCCTGACTGTAGATCAGAGATGGAAGTACCAGCTATGGGATTCTATGAAGACAAGTTCTGAAACATGTGAACAGTTTCTGGATGCCACATCAAGGCTTTGTTCAAATACCAATGAGCAAATCAGACATTTTGAATTAGCCGTAGGAAGTGGATAATGTACATTAAACAAGGGCCTGGAACCATTCTCTGAATGAGATAGTTGCACAGTTATACACTAAATAAGAAAAGTGGTTCTTTGGAGTTAAGGTGACAAAAAACCATGATGTGGTATATTACATAATTCAGGCTTGATAAAAGCAGGCACTTTTACAAATTTCTCAGCATCTAAATAGCCAAAACAGCATGGACATGAATTAAAAGAATGTCTGTGCAGAGGGTTGGAAACATCTGCTTCTCTGCAGGAGATTACAAATCAGTATCAGTGTTACTGCAGAGGAAAGAAAACAATGCAAGTCATCGCACATGCCTAAGGTATGAAGGATTTGGAGATACCACTTAGCTGAATATTTTTTGAGAATTTAGCATGAGAGAATTAAGATCATCAAATAATAGAGAAGATGCTAAAGGTCTTGTCTAAAAGGATGGACAATACCAACAAAGCTGTTCTCATGACAGCATCCAGATCAACTCAGAGATGAGAAGAGCTGGCCAAATTCAGCTGAACTGAGAACAACTCTAGGCTTGACAACATGTTGTCTCTGAGTGGTTCATCCACATCTGCACCCCTCCTTAGAGCAGCTGGCCTTCAGCACCTTCTGGGACAGATCCTGAAAGAGAAAACACTACTCTACACCTACAGAACAATTCCTGGTTCTTTTATGTAAAACCCTGGAGGAATATACAAGAGGCACAGAAATGGCTTGGCTCTCTTCAAAAAAGCAGCAGATGTCTTTATGCATGAACAGTGTGTGGGAGACACTCTCCAGCAAATTACTGCTACAGGGTCTGGCTCCATGAAATTAGAGATTGGATCCGGAGATTAGAAACAACACATGCCACTCAATTAGCATGGCTGCCAGACAAGCTCTAGGGCCATTTTCCATGGTTGTGGATCTTATCTTCAAAACCTAGCCTCCTCCCACACTTCAGTGCTACCACCATGTTCAATGGTAATTTTCAAAAATCACTACAAAAGCCTCTAACTAGGTGTTAACAGTGGTCTAATACCTACTCACTGAAATTTGCCATCATTAGAGAACACACCGAGCATAAGCCATGACTGACACTCACTCTCAGCTAACATCTGATTAAAAGCTCAGCTGTTCAACATTTTCTGCCATGTGTCCTTTGAGAAAGCCACCACTGAGTCACCCATTTCTTCAGAAACGAATAAACAAGAATTTGATTTTCCCCCTCCAAATGAAGGAAATTCTGGGGTGGGAGATGGTTAGAAGGGTGCACAATAATTGCAATGACATCTCATAGTCCAGAAGGAAGTAATAATGACTCTTGAGCTTCAGCACTGTAATTTCTGGAAGTGTCATGTTCCAGGTCAAGGTCTTCTGTCTAAACAGTCTTCCACTAAACAGACAATTTGGAGAGTTGGGCTGTAGTTTTGTTTGTTATGTATCACTATTCATGTTTCCCTAGGCAGTGAAAGGACTCAAAGAAGAGTGCTAAAAGATTTCTCAAGCACACCACAGGCTAGTGAGACAGTTTAAGATCTTTTATCAAAGCCTCTGTGCTTTACATCACACTGCAGTCACGGTAAGTGTTCTTCCTCATTTTTCTTTGACATTAACCAGCTTGGATATAGCTGTTCTTCACATTTCAATTGATCTCGATTTTCACTTTTCACTGTAATATCATGGTACAGCTTTGTTTTATTCCCTTTGTACCTTACCTGTTAGTATTCTCCAGGACTTCAACCTTCTTACGCAGCTCACTATTTTCATTTGAGCAAGTCTCAACTCTGGGGACAGCACAAAGAAAGAAAGAGGAATGTAAAAAAATCAGTCATTTATTAAACTTGTTTTCACAGAGAGCTCTATGATCTTGCCTACATTTAATGAAGAGTTACACCAATGAACTTCAGTCATAATCTTTAATCATATTTCTTCATGTAAAAGACATTGCAAAAGATCCTACTAGCTGTGGAACACCTTCTTACACTGCTCAACTACATCCCAGCTGGTGCAGATCACTCAGGATGGGCTGTAACTACTTTATGCCCCTTGATATAGCAACAGCAAAGACCCTGCTCAGACATTCTCTGTGCATCAGGCCATGGCACAGATACTTTAAAAGTCATAGAACATGCTATATTTATGTTGTTAGCAAGTATTCTGTGCAAAGGTGTTCAATGTGTGCATTTCATTGTTAGGATGAGGCACCAAGCAATTTAGCAAATGTCATACTTCTGAAAACAGATATTCGAATTTCAAGTTTAGGGAGATTAATAAGCCAGGAGGATTCATTTGCAAGAGAGTGTTCATTTCCACACTGCCCCTGGAAACCCCCTAGAGTTGGTTAGGACTCCTAAAAAGACAAACATGATCAGATGAAATAGCTTCAAGGAAAAAGGTAAATGGAAATAGCTTTGATATCTGTATGTATATGGTGGCATTTCACAAGAGTAACTCTGAGAAAGCAACACTCATCCACAAAGAGGTAAGAAGTAAAAAATGAAATTACATCAAGGATATCATCAAAGATGGTACAAGGGGTTTAAAAGACCCATCTGTGTGGTGCAGAAGAGAAATACTAAGATACTTGTCTGTTGGAAGAAAGATTAACTTGGGATATAAATCACTAACTGGGGGTTTGTCTCCTCGCTAAAGGAAGTCAATGGGTCACATGCTGTTTTCCTGCATCCTGCTTACTTTCCCAAGCAGTCTTGACTCACCTACTTCGTACTGCTGTCTCTGTCTGCACTAGACGACAGAATATATTCACTCTGAACCCACCTTTCCCTGGACACTGCCCACCCACTAGGCCAATGGAGCTGCATGAGGGGGAGGCCAACAAGAGATGGGTCTTGCCTTATATAAGGTTTAAAGTCTCTGTTGGCATGTTAGCAACGTGTTTCAGGTAGACACGGTTATGAATGCTGCACACCAGCACACGTACAAGCAGAAGCCAGAAGAAGGGGCTTTTCTCAGTCATAACCACGAGATGGCAGCTGGCACTCTGTGCACGACACAGTCCTAGCATCAACAGCTGGATCCCTTCCCAGTCCAGCAACTAGTGCTATTGGCCCACTTGTAACAGGAAGGAGATTGGCTTACTTTTTTTCCAGACTGTCCATGTATTCTTTCTTTTTTCTTCTACTTTCCTGGGCAGAGATCTAAGGAATAAAGAAGAAAAACACAAAATATTTGCATAGAAAAAAAAGCATCAGAGATGAATTAATAAACTGGTAAAAAGTCCTGACGTGATTAGATTCAAGCCTCCATGCTGTTCTCATTTCTATTTCTGGCAAGAAAAGCACTGAGTTGGACTGTTTCCATATCCTGAAGCAAGAGTGTTCCTCTCAGTAGTAGGAAAAAGATCATTCCCTGATCTTACAGAACTAACCTTAAAAAGTAAATCACATTCATCTGGAGAGAATATCCTAGGACAGATACTAAAAGATGATCCCAGGACAATGTCCTGCGTCTGGGAGAGGAAAAGCCCACGTATGCATTAGAAAGCTACTTTGTAGAAGAAGACTTTGGGGTTCCTGATGAACAAGTCAAATATAAGTCAGCAATGTGCCCCTGTAGCAAAGGTGGCCAACCAGATCCAGGTCTGTACTAACAAGATCATAGCCAGCAGGCTGAGAGAAGTGATTCTTCCCCTCTACTCAGCACCTGCAAGACCACAGCTGAGTACAGTTTGTGGCTCTGAAATCAATAGCTTGGATGGACAGAAGCAAGCCTAGAGGAGGACCATTGCTATAATAAGCATGCTGAAGCACATGACACATCAGGAAAGGCAGAGAAAGCTGGGTTTGTTCAGATTTAAGAAGAGAAATCTAAGGAAGGAATCCTATTGCTGTCTTCAACTATCTTGCATTGTGAGAGACTTCTCAGAGGTGTACAGCAAAATGCCAAGAGGCATCAAATACAAGTTGTAACAAGGGAAATTCCAATTAGATGTTAAGAATTCTACTTATTTGCTTTTACCACAGGGGCAGCCTAATATCAGAACAGGTTGACCAGAGATGCTGGGGACTCGTCACTCTTTGAGACAGTAAAACGTAACTGGACAAGACCCTGAGCAATTTGCTCTAAGCTGACCGTGCTTTCAAAGCAAGGAATTGGACCAAAGGACCTCCAGAGATCCCCTCCTGTATAAATAAGTCTGATTATATGAAAGTGGTACACAAAATGCATGAGGTCTCTTCCAAAAATTAAAAAAATATATATTACAAAACCAAATTCCAAGTCGGTGAGGGAAAATTTACACCTCTATCTGCAAAACCAATAACAGAATGCATTAACTATCAAAGATGTGCTAATATCCACTAGAATGAGTGAGATGGACGTGTCTGAGAAAAAAATGCTTTCCTCCCTATCACTAGGTTCTTCCCCATGTTGGAAGAAAGAAAAGACTTGTAGACCATTTCACAGCCTTGGTATCAACCATTAATTTAAAAGTCATGGACTTCAGTGATCAAAAGACTAGGGCACTGAAATACACAGTCAGATTTTAAAACATGAAACAGTGGAAAAGAATACCATCACGATGGAAAGAATACAGGTCTTTGCCTACTATAACGGTAGGATTGTACTGTTTTTAAAATGGAGCCAAGCAACAGCAACTTGATACCCTGCTTGCTAAGTACTCTATTGTTCATGTGTTCAGGTAAATAGCTGAAGAGAGGCACACTGTCACAATGACACACAATTTGATGGATGTGTTTAGGAACAAAGAAAAACACTTTGTTAAAAGACATCTTACAGCATTCAACAGTACCACAGACCATTACTACAGAATTGTTGCAACATTTTTTTAAATGCAGGATGAGTAAGAATTACCCAGCAAGGTTAACTAACATTTACCTTGTTCTTTATTTTCCTGCGGATTTTCTTCAGCACTTTCTCTTCTGCTTTTGTCAGGGGCAGTTTGGTAGGGATTGGGTACCCCTCTGCTATCAGTGTTCTCTTCTCCTCCTCTGTCAGGATGAGTGGGCCTGTCCCCTGTAATTTCTGCAAGTGTCAAAGAAATGAAATAATTTAACAGTAAGTGCACGCAGCCCTAGAAGAAAAGTGTCAGGGAAGACAGGCAGCAGCTCTCCCACTTGAGAAAGGACTCTGCCTACTCAAACAGCAGTCTTCTGCAATTGGGAATGCATGGAAGGGGAAGACCTTTTAGATAGCTTCCATTCAGAGACTGAACCATTGGGGTGTGATTCCCTCAAACTAGTTGTTCTTGGCCCAGCTCTGCATACATTGAGGACCAACAGTAAAACTTCCCTTGGCTCAAACAGGGAAAGAGACAAATGAGAAGTACTGCTGAAAATCCCTCCCCAAAGATCACCACTTGCTTTCAAGAGGACAGATGCAGATCTACCAAGGACAGGTTAACCCAGCAGGGCTGGGCCCTAATGCAAAACAGAATCCAAGATGGGAGAAACGTAATAACACTGTTGAACCCTGTCTCAGCTTAGCGAGAGGCACATGCTGTTCTTTGTGGGAACAGAGCAGACCAGAGAGCAAGAATTACTGGATTTGCAGTTTTGACCAGAGATGGATTAATGTGAAGAACAAAAGAAAGCTAGCAAATCCATGGCAAAACCAGTAATTATTAAAAAAAAAAACCAAAAACCAAAACCCAAACCCCAGATAGATCAATGCTGGAAAAAGACAGCCCAACTTACATGTGGCGCAGTCAGGAGAGGGGAATTGGAGAGCGCTGAAGCTGTGCGCGATGTCACCTTAGCCGTGGCTTGTAGTTGCATTGGGCTTGAAGGAGGGAGTGATCTAGCCGGGCTCTGCCCTCCTTCAGAGTCACTGCCATGGCTGCTGGGAGGGGTTGGAGGCAAATGCAGGGGATCCACTACTAAATGGCAAGAGAGACATATAACATAAGGTTTTGAGGTGCTAATTTAAATTTCCTCTAGAGCTGCCACCACCATCACCACCCAGTTTCCAAGACTAGGATTCTCTGTTAAAAAATGGATCAAGCAAAGTGGCAACTTGGAAGATTTTCAGAGCATGCAAGGTCTCCAATGGAGGAATGAAACACAGCAGCTATCTTTAGGTTCAACAGCAAAACAGGGCTCTGTGCATATGCTTCAGTCATTTCTACCTACACTTAAGCTTCTTCTCCAAATGCTTTGAGGTTTAGGTATAGCCCTCCAATACAAGTCTCCTGTGCCTGGAAAACCACAGTGTGCTTTTTCTCTAAAAACAATAGTCTTTCCTAACTTTGCTGTGGATTAAACAAATCACCAGTATTTTTCAAGAGAAGGTATCACATCCAAGGTGTTATACGAACAGGGAGGAGAGAAATAATCTGCCTCCTAAACTTGGTTTGGCACAACTGGGAAGAAGTGACAATACAGTGACTGCAAAGGTTTTAATGTACTTATGGAGAAAGAGCAGCACAGGCAACCAAGACAGGAACCCCTCTCACACTGTGCTATCCAGGGCCATAAACTAACTTCTACTGCACTTGTAGCCAAAAGAACCTGTGCTAGAATTGGCAAGCAAAGTGCTGCTAATGACTAAATGGGTCTGGACAAAGAGAAACAGGGCAGTGTCTCACCTACTCATATTACATGGACAATTTAGCAGATGTCCAAACCAGATATAACTAAATAATTTTTTTCTTGAGATAAATTCACAGCAATAAAAATTGAGAGTAGGAAGGTACAGGGCTGAATTTGCCATCTTCCACTTGTTATACTTCACAAATTTGAGTTGAAAACATCAAATGGGTGGTGGGGGAGGAAGGAAGAAAAATAGCAACAAAAAAAAGCTGTTATATATGAGCTCTTTTTGTCTAGCATCTTAACTCTAGTAATTGCCAGAAGAAGATACACACTTGAAAAACAGCAAGGCCCTTAATCCCACAAATTGAGCAACTGAATCTATGCCCTGGGTTGAGATATAGCCTCCCTTTTCCCACCTGCTACATCACTTGCTTCTCTCCCTAGAGCAGTTCTACTTACCTACACAAATGAATTCACCAACAAAGTATCAAGTGTTCCTAACTGAGATGCAGTTATCTGCTCAAATTTCAGCCAAAATATTTGGCTCTTTCAAACTTTCCTTGACAGATTACGTGCTAGAAAACCATGTTTAACTTTAAGGGCAGGGATTATTGTTCCTCCTTCCTCATTTATAGATTAATGCAAATGAGTCCTGGTGGTTCCTAAAAACTCTACTAAAACTAATATGCAACAAACAGATGCACCTAGCTTTTAATTTAATATAAACTCACATCCTTGCTTTTGTATCAGAGGTTAAAACGGTAAAAGTTTCTACTTCTGCTCTCTTCATGTTTTCTATGCCTTTGTTAATCCCCTCAAATTGATTTCTCTTCTAGCCTAAATAATCCTGAGCTTTTCATGCTCCCTCCAGCAACTGTACAATTGTTAATAGGATACAGACAAAAATGGGATAATTTTCTTTGTGATAAGCAAGGGAAAAAAAAAGGAAAAAAACACATAAATGGGTCAGAGAGAGGCAGTGTGAATTGAATCCCTAGAAGGCAACAGCTTCAGCCTAAAGATTAATATGGCCAATGAGGAAGCCAAATATTTAATCAGGGTAAAGTACATTCACTGTGCATTCTGGTCATCTCCCCCTGCATTCTGGGTTGGTAATTAACAGACCTTCCTTAGAAGAGAGGTTCAGGAACTGATCAACTTCATGGGGCTCCAATTTAATCTCTGGAAGAACTTTCTGGCTCAATGGTTTCATCTAGAAAAGAGAAATTAACAGCATGAAAACCCAAAGCACACATCTTAAAAATCTTAATAGAAGGACACCAGGATGACTTCTCCATAAATGGAGAGGTTTCCCTCTCCTCCTGCTCTGCTACAGGCAAAGCTTTAACTGCTTCACACAGTTTGCTAAACCAGGCTACAGAGAACACTGCCCTGACTACTCCCACTGTGGCTTTTCTTACTACTATATTTAGCTAAATAAAAGATTATGCCTCAGAGATGACATTTCAGACTGAAAGCTAGCATGCAACCCACTCAAATTACTTCTCTTAGCAACAGAGCTGCTGCTAAGATTTGCCGGACTGCACAGTCTGTTTGAGCAGAGACAGAAACACTCCTGGCAGTGGGGGAGAGCCTGTTCAAGACCATTGTCATAAAGGAGCAAGAGCAAGGTGCCAGCCACTGGGGACCAGACTATCAGACCCAAGTTCCTTTCATGGTGTGGAGGAGCATGAAAAGAGACAGTCACAGCTGACCAAAGTCTGGAAGACATCTGGCTTGCCCTGTTGACAGGGCTGAGACACCAGGCTGACAAGCTGTTGCCCAGAGTTTGCCTGAATGCTACAGTCCCAGGCTTGAAGAAGTCAGTCTGGCACACCAGCCTGCTCATTGCAGCCAAAATCTCTCTCAATAACCTGTGTAACTAATCTGTGCAATGGTAATGAGCCTCCAGTTAGTCCCAATATACTCTGCAAATCATGGCATTCCGAAGTACAGCAGGACTACATACCAGGGATGGCACATTCAGACTACAGGAGAATTATGGGAAACGTGTTTTTTCAGTTTTTCATAAAATAATTTCTGTTGCACTTATTTTTGACCAACATCCAAGTGGAAACATTTATTTTCAGCATATACTAACTCCACCCAGCCGGGACTGACATTGCACCCTGGGAACTGAGAACAGTCAATGCTTCTTCCTCCACTGATAGGGGACTCTGACATCAGCTGCTGCAGTTCATTCTCCTTAACCACAGCCAAACTATGCTCTTGAGAATGCCCACTGGATGCTCCAGCTGTGGTCAGAAAGGCATCACAAATGCTCCTTACAGGGCAGGTTGGTGTGGATGCAGCAGAAGCTCGAAATGTGAAAGCTCCATAGATCTGGCAAAAGTGACTTAGCAGGCAAACAGAGAAACTCTGCAGTCATTTCAAACATTAAGTTTAGTTCTTATTAGGGGAAGGCACAGCAGCACTAAAGCAAGTTATTATGGAAGACACTTAGCTTGTCATAGGCTCAATAGGGCAAATAGGTTAATCAGTTCAGGTGGGGCTGGGTTCATTAGAAACTGTTTAAATACTTTTAAGAATGCATAAGCCCCAGGTTTTAGGGCTAGCAGAGAAGAGAAGAGAAAGTTGTGCATCCAACCACTAAGACCTGAAGATGCAGATGTTTTGAAAAACAAAAAATCAAGTTCCTACAGCAGCAGTGGGACAGACGCAAACGATAAAAACATTAAAGCAGACTGCAGTATGCACCCTGAATTGACAGACTTTGGCACCAAGGAGGCTACACTGGTATGCAGAGTCCTGGGAGAATTTGTAGTTAATTGCACAGAGAGGAGAACAGAAAGTCTGCATGTACCAGGGCATCGGTCTGTAGCTCAGGCTGTTCCTCCTTCAGTGACGTGGCTGTGACGGTCAGACTGACTGAGGGAGCAAGGCCTGACGTCTCACACAACTCTGGCTCAGTCTTTATTGCTGCTGGAGTCAGGTCTGTACCCAGACACCATTCCTCATTTTCCAGGTCACCTGCCAGGGAAGGAAATTGGACACCACATGTTTAGGTCAGAGACAGAAAGACTACAAATGAAAATAATGTCATCCCTCCTCCAGAGAAGGGAAACAAACACAGAAGGCATTTCAGTCTATCAACAAAACTCTGTCCTTACTATTCACTCTCAGTCAATGCAGACAGCCGTGCCATTTCAGGGCTGTAACCTAATCCTAGCCCCAGGATACAGAGAGGAGCAAGGAGGAAAGACACAGAGCACTAATCACTGTACATTGCCGAAAGCTGCTAACACGTAGCAGAACAAGACTAAACAAGCCATTGGGTAAAGCAGCCAGGGAGCCATGTCCTACATACACTAATGCCTGCTGACTCAGTTTTATTTCCCCTTGTAGAAATAGCATTTAGCCAGACTTCTGCTCCTTATAATATTTGCAATCATCAAATAGACAGAGTGGTGATATTATACTTTTAAGAACAAAGGATTTTTCACACTCTCAACTTCAAAATTTTCCCCCCAAGGATTCATTTAGTAAGTATAAAAGAGGATAGAGGCTTTGATGATTTCACAGGAGCACCAGTGCTGTGGTGATCATGCTAAGTCTCTCCCCAGAGCTTCTGGAAGTCACAGCAGTATTTTGACTGGCAGCAATGAAACGTGCATCACATCTTGGCAGAATTGTCCTCTAGCCCGACTTACTGCAAGCTCCTAATCAGAACAAAGTCATGCAACTTTTCACTGGACAAAGCTGAAAGGTTTGCCTGGCACTGTCAAGAACTGGAAGAAAGTTGGCATGGTAAGTTGGTAGCTCCTCTATTTTCATTCATGAAGCAGCCACTGTTTGGCTTGCTGAGAAGGACTTATTCTCCCAGGTCTAAAATATGATAGAGGATCAAGAACTTGGAAGGACTCAACCTTTAAAACAACTCCACAAGGCTATTAACAACCCCACTTTAAAAACATAATGCATTTTTGGCAGTTGCAATTCTGCCTTTAAAAAATTCCCATCCCTACTGCTAGAGTTCAGTTATGTAAGTTCTCTTCTCTTGCAGGAAAGTACCCTACACCAGCTGTACTGCACCCCAACAGTGTACAGCACAGTCCTCTGACACAACTTGTCAGTAGTTGTGAGAAGCACATCCATCAAATCAAGCAGCTGGAATCTGAGGCCAAATATACGTAAAAGAGTGTTAATCTTTCTGTCAGAGCTTTCTCCTGTCTTCATACAGAGTATTTACTGCATATATGGAGTTAAGCAGAGCAACCACATACACTGTATGGCTAGTAAACAGCAAGAGCTTTGAATTAACTGTATGCTGCATCAGCACCGTGGGAGGTAGCCAGGGTGCTGTGGCTGTGCCACCAGCAGTCTGCAAGGCTGACACAAGACCCTTACACAATGACTGTATCAAATTGGTGAGATGTCAAGGGAGTTCAGCTGCAACAAACAGGTAACAAAATCAAGAGCGGGCTTACAGCCTCTGTGCTGCTCTCTGCCCTTGTTGTTAAGACCACACACACATATGGCACACAGGCACTGGACAGAAGCTGGGTGACTGGAAGAAGGGAGAAGCATGTACCTCTCCATTGCTAGTAATTACTTTGTGGTGGGACCTAACCTCCACCGCTGGCAAGGAAGGAGGTAATTTGAGTAAAGACACACCAAGGAATTAAAAATGAAAAGTACATATCCTGTAATCAGAAGCACAAGAACAGTGAGCCCAGCTCTGCCAAGAGAAGTAACTACAGCAAGGGTTGAACACCATATTTAAGTTTCTGGAGAGCTGACTCCCAAAGCTTTCTGGGAAATGCCAAAATATAAAACCAGAAGTATTTATGAAAAAAGAGGTAGCATTGTCTAAATATTAACTCAGGAGAGAGGACACTGCTCTCTTTCAACCCTCCCTGAGCCTCTCTACTCACAAACACAGGAGTGCAGCTCCAACTGCAGTGAAATATTCAGTGGATCCGTGGACTCCCTCTAGCTTGCTGTGTGTGGATCATTCAGATAAGACCTTTAAAGTTCTCTTTGCCTGGAAATCCAGAATCCCTTGACAAATGCAACTTTCAAATGCTTTCTTGGATAACTTCTGCCAAAACCTCCCCCAACATCATTGTGGAGAGCCTCCTATGCAGAGCTTGCTGCCTCTCACACCTCTGGCTCGAGCTACACCATGTCAGTGCTATCCCTGCAATCTACTTTAGACTCCCTTTGGGAGGGAAGGCTACAAATAAATGAGAGCTAACACTGAAGCAAGTAATTAGCCCTGAACTTTCTGAGATTTGTATTATCATGCAAGTAGAAGAGAAATCTAGCCATGGGTGCCCTCTTAGAGGACATGGCATGTCCTCTAAGGCTGCACTTTGTGATGTTTATCACCACTAATCCCCAGACTCATCACAAGGATTCAGCTGCTGTAAGGCAGCAAGACATGCTGGCCTTCAGCTGGTCATTTTACTCCTCTGGAACCTGACTTTGCTGATTAACCTGACATCCCTGCCATCACCACTTAGATATGCACAAACTGCTCAGAGTTTTTCTGGGCTTTAAAGTCAGTCTAACCAGTTTGTAGGGTTACAGATGGTTTTCAGCGACAGCAACACGCTGCATTTAACACTGAGAAAACACTGAAGAACGACATCTAACACTTTTTTGACACTGCCTCTTATGATGCATGGTGACAGCTGTCATTACAGATGAACAACCCTGTGAAAGGAAGAGATGAAGCAACACACTGGTCAAATCCCACCTTGATACTCCCCTCTCTCCACTTTTATCAAGCCCCTACTATTCATTCAGTATCATGGTCAGTGTTGTGCAACAAGTTATTTTCTTTTGACATATTCCAGCTTCTGAAGTCACCAACAACCTCTCCTCTGCTCCAAGAGAGCTGCAAAAGGAGATTTCCCACTCTACTTTCTCCTCTTCCTGAGCACAGCTGGTTGACATTATCTGAAAATCATTCTTAGTTTATCTTTACAATAGCCCCTTAGCACCTTAGTTTACTCTGCCAAGCACTGTACTAGCAGAACAAAGTGGCAGCCCTTCTTCCAAAGCCCTTGAGAATGCTGCATAACAACCAGAAAAATTTAGGCAAACGGGGAAAAATTGAGCAGGCTACAGAATACCAGTCATACTGAGAGGAATGGCAGACCTTCCATGGAGAACCATGAGAGAGGTTTCATTGAATAATGAGAATGAGCAAGAAGGTACACATGAAATACTGAAATGAAAGGACAGTGGAGGCTGGCTCAAGGGATCTATTGGAGGAGAAGGGAGGTGTCTTCTCCAAACCAGGTAAGACACGTGCTATTGCAAGAGTCGATGACTGGTGTCAAGAAATTGAAGGTGCTTATATTTATATTTGACATGATCCAGGAGGTACATGTGAACTGTTGAGACAGAGTCCAAAACAAAAGGCTGAGAATATTATCTCATGACTGTATTCTAGACAGATATGAGTAGAGCAACCCTACATTGCTGAGGTGAGACAAAACACACTGCGAATAGTTCAGGTATAGAGAGAAGAAAGCCTCAACAAGAGGTTTAGCTATCCAAATGGCCAGGAAAATCCACATTCTGAAGTTGGTCACTTGGCTTTTAAAAATCTCTTCTCAGGCTTTAAAATATTAATTCCAGAGTTCACTGTTCAACAAGTCACACTGGCAGTCAGTCCCCCTTCCCAGCTGAAATTTCCTATGAACTTCAGAGCTCTATCGTGCTGTTTAGATGAGAAGCATTCCCCTTCACCAACGCCTTCATAAGCCCATGAATGCTAGGCATTCTGGCACATGAAATATGTCATTAAGTACTTAGCAAACTTTCAGCTAACTCTTCTACATGCAATGCACTAGCACTGTTAAATTTCGCATGCGGACTATGTCAACTGAACATTAATGTTGCAAAGCACCCAGATATTAAAAAAATACCTGTGTGTATATTTGCACATTATATACACCTAAAAATAGGAATGTTTTAATAATGTGATCAATTTCTCTACAGAATGCCTTACCCAACAAGCAGAATGCATGGCGCTCCCCTAACTGAGGAGCTACTCCATGTTTTGTTATTGTCTCATGCACAGCCTCATCTCTCCTTTACCATATATATACAATTCAAATTCTGTTCCCACAGAGCTGTTTAATTCCCTCCTAGGGAAACACTTCACCAACCTGAATTAGATTTCCACAGCGGTCCTGAAAATTCAAGTCAACCATGGAGAGACTGAGGCCAAAAAGGATCTAGTAATTTCAAACAGCCAACTGGAAACAACTGGAATTGGATTTTTCAGATGATTTCGCACTGTTATTATACTTTATTAAAATGCAGTATGCACTGAGTTTTCAGGTGTGGCTCTGAGCATCTACCACTTCTGCAAGTCTCAAATCAAGCATCCAAAAAACCCATTCATCACAGCAACCCAGGGTCTGTGACTCATGCATCTAAGATCTTATTTTCCGTGTCCCAAGACTAAAATTACATTTCTTGTGAAAACTTTGCATGCTGCTTCTGTCATCAAGCTTGTCCCACTTTTCCTGCAGACTCTCGTTTAGCGTGCATCTTTCACTTTCTTTTAAAAAACAAAAGGCAGGAGCCTTACAAAGCATCAAACTAAGTTCAATCGTGTACTGAGCCATGTTCTAACTGACAAGAAAAACTTTAAAAATGTCCTCTTCATTCCCAGCTGAACCCATCGTGAGCTCAGCTTGGTCCCAGACAACGACATGCAATGCGGTGTAAGATGCCGTGTATGTGATAATGCAAGAGAGAAAGCTCAAAATGGGACACCATTCCCTCAATACTGTAAGTGTAAGCACTGCACGTCATGCACACCAACAGCCAGGTGTCCCAGTAGCAAACTCCTTCTGTCCTCTGTCTTTATTTCAGAGGCCCTAATGCTGCCTCAGGTTCCATCATTTGCAGTTAAGATGGGCAATGCTAGTAGGATCTACTCAACATACCACAAGTGGACCTTCCTTTTTTACTCTCCTTTCTCCAGATCAATACACCTAGAAGGG